CTTCTCCAGCACCACAGCTCAAAGGCATCAATTCTCCTTCTATCATCCCTAGTCACTGTCCAGCTCTCTGACACATTCCAAGTAATCTGATAAGACCATGGTCTGGATCAGGTGCCCTACAGTCTCCAGACTGACATCGCTGCTCTTCAGCACTCTGGAGAGGTTTCTGACAGCAGACTTTCCCAATGGAATTCATCTTTTCATTTCCTGCTTAACCTGGACTCTTCAGAATGTTCACAGAGGATATCTGTATCTATAGGTTGACAGATGTAAGGATGGGTGTGAGTGTGCAAATATATATTATGTACACACACACATATATATACATACCAACACACTGATATACTGGGAAGTAAGAAGATGCAATGCAATTCCCTAAGCACGCAAGTCAAATCTACCAGACACTCCATGGGAAAAGGCTGGGCAATCTCCTCCCACGCAATTTACTGCCTCTGAAACCTGCTGTAGGGTCAGGTATCAGTCGGCTCCACGGCACACGCGTGCACACACACAGGGTATATACACATACACAAATATATGGCTAGTTGACGCCACATTACTACACCTCTCAGTTTCTTCTAACAACTCTTAAATTCTCTACTATGGAGATTTGCTCTCTTAACTCGGCTTTTTTTATCAGCTGCCCCTTTGATCTTCAGCACACTCTGTCCCATTATCTGCAAACAGTACTCCAGCTGGTCAGATCGGAGTGGGAAGTAAACAGACTCCTGAGGGCCCAGAAAAGCCTGTGCTTTGGTGCCCAACTTCAGCAATGCAGCAAGAACTGCTCCTCTTCCCATTCCCTAAACTCTCAGCTGTTCACTGAAAATTAAACTTCTCTCAAACTTATCAAGACTTCCTTTACACACACAAAAAAAAGAATTCTAAAATCCACATACTTTCTTGGTTTACCGTCGTTAGGTGCTGTCGAGGAGACTATGACTCACAGTGACTCTACGAATGGCAGATCTGAACCCTGTCCTTTCCTGCCCCGTCCTCCTTATCGTCTCTGCCACACCTGAGCCCTTTGTTAAGGTCATAATGCCAATTCATCTCGTTAGGAGTCGCCCCTCCTCTGCTGACCCTGTATTTTTCCTGGTATGATGTCCTTTCCAAGAACGGCCCCTCCTAGCAACATGTGCAAAGTATGTGAGATTAAGTTTCACCATCATTCCCCGGCTGCACTCTCTACAAGACACCTGTGTTCTCTTGGCAGTCCGTGGGACTTTCTCCAGCAACTTCACTCCAAGATGTCAATCCTTCCTGGCATCTTTATTCACTCCCCAACCTTCAGATAAGTACTGACAAGACCAAGGCTTGGATCAGGTGCACACTAACCTTTATAAACTGACATCCTTGATCTTCAGCACCTTGGAGAGGTCCTTAGCTGCAGATTTTTCCAGTGTAACACTTGACTGTGCTTATGTGAAACCTATACTTGGACCAGGAGGCAGTCATCAGAACAGAGCAAGGAGACACTGCATGGTTCAAAACTGGGAAGGGTATGAGTCAAGGGTATGTCCTACCTCAGTATCTTTTCAATCTATATGCAGAACACATTATCCAGGAGGCTGGGCTCTATGAGGAGAAGTGTGGCATCAGGATTAAAGGTAGACTCATCAACAATCTGCCTTACACAGATGACACAACCCTGCTTGCTGAAACTGAGGAGGACCTGAAGCACCTGCTGCAGAAGGTCAAGGACTGCAGCCTCCAATATGGATTGAGCCTCAACGTTAAGAAAACAAAGATTCTCACTGCTGGGCCAAATGCGCATCATGATATATGTGGAAGAGACTGAAATTGTTAACACCTTCAGTTTGCTTGGCTCTCCAATCAACATTCTTGGTACCAGCAGCCAGGAAATCAAGAGGTGAACTGCATTGAGAAAGTCTGCTGTTAGAGACCTCTCCAAAGTGCTGAAGAGCACCAATGTTAGTCTGGAGACTAAGGTGCACCTGATAAAGGCCATGGTCCTTACAATTACTTGCTATGTATCAAAAAGCTGGACAATGACTGACTAGGGATGATAGTAGGAGAATTGATGCCTTTGACCTGTGGTGTTGGAGAAGAGTACGACTGCTAGGAGAACAAACAAGTTCATCCTGGAGAGCGTGAAGCCAAGCTGATCCTTGGAGGCAAGGATTCTGAAGCTTCGTCTGACATACTCCGGACATGTTGCAAGGAGGGACTAGTCCTTGGAGAGAGATGTCATGCTTGGGAGGGTTGAGGGACAGCGCAGGAGAGGAAGACCCTTGATAAGATGGATTGATTCCATCACTGGGGTAATGAGGTAGGTGTGTTGGAGACAGTAAGATTAGCACAGGATACAGCAGGGTTTAGGTCTGTTGTACATAAGGTCGCTATGAGTTGCAGGTGACTCGATGGCTCCTAACAATAACAGCACATCTTTTGATTTTCTTACTGCTAGTCCCAATGGTGTTGACTCTGGATCTAGTATCTTCTCTCCATCTACTATAATGCTGCATACTGGCCCTGTGGTTGACACTAAGACACAATTCATACTGAAAACTCCAGTCACCCCTTGATCTCTGCAGCAAGCGCTTCCAGTCCTCCTCACTCTCACCAAGCAAGGTTGTGCCACCTGCCTAATGCAGGTTGATTAAGTCTTCCACCAATCCTGCTGCCAGAGACACTGAAAACTAATGACTAAAGACCAAATGAGGTGTGGGATGACATCAAGGATATCATCCATGAAGAAAAGCAAAAGGACACTGAGACAAAGGTGAAAGAAAAAACTAAAAGGATGTCATCAATTGTACTAGAACGTCGAGAGGCCCAAACCAATTCCAGAATTGCCTAAGTGGAGATGAACAGAAAATTTCAAGGACAGCCTGAGAAGAAAAAGCAAGTATTCTAATGATAAAGGCAAACAAAGAGCTGGAGTTGGAAAACAAAAAGGGAAGAACTTGCTCAGCATTTCTCAAGCTGAAAGAACTGAAAACTAAATTTGAACTCTGAGTTCCAATACTGAAGGATGCCAAGGGCAAAATCCTGAACGATGTAGGAAGCACAATGCACTACGTCACTGTACAATAAAGAATTAGCCGACACGGAACCATTTCAGGAAGCAGCTTGTTCAAGAACCAATGGTGATGAAGGAAGAAGTTCAAGATGCACTGACTGCTCCCGGCGTCAAGAAGATACCAATGAATATATTTCAATTAACAGATCCGACGTTAGATGTGCTGACCAGGTTGTGCCAAGAAATTTACAAGTCAGTTACCTAGTCACCAGACAGTAGCAGATCTGTATTTGTTCCTATTCCAAAAAAGGTGACCCAAAAGGACATGGAAATTATCAGAGGGACATCACACTTGGGAGGGTGAAAGGACAGCATAGGAAAGGAAGACCCTCGATGAGATAGACTGATTCAGTCATTGGGGTAATGCAGGTAGGTGTGCTGGAGACAAGAAGATTGGCACAGGATAGAGCAGAGTTTAGGGCTGTTGTACATTGGGTCGCTATGAGTCATAGGCAACTCAACGGCACATAACAACAACAATCATTATTATCACATGCAAGCAAAATCTTACTGATGATTATTCAGAAACAGCTTGAACAGTACATCGACAGAGAACTATCAGATTTTCAGGCTGGATTTAGAAGAAACTGTAGCGCCAGGCATATCACTGCTGATGTAAGATCGGTCTTAGCTGTAAACAGAGTGTACCAGAAGGATGTTTATTTGTGTTTCATCGACTATGCAAAGACTTCTATGTGACAGTGTGTATCGTTACAAATGAGAAGAATGAGAGTCCCAGAGCACTTAATTGTGCTCATGTGAAACCTCTACCTAGACCAAGAAGCAGAAGTGAGGATGGTTGCGGGGTAGTTCATCATAGGGTCCCACAATTTGATGGGTGGAGGGAGAGATGGGTAAAGAAGAGCGAGGCCAGGGTGAAAAACAATGTATATGAACTCTGTAAGTAAGCCAGTATATAATAAAAATGTTATTAAAAAAAAAAAGCTATTGTGTAACTGAGCAAGGGAACACTGCATGATTTAGTATCAAGAATGGTGGGCCTAAGAGAGCTTTGGTGGCCTAGTGGCAAGAAGCTGCACTGCAGTCCCAGAGGAATGTGGTTCAAATCCACCAGATGCTCTGCTGGAGGAGGGGGAGCAATTTCCTCCTGTACCTGTCAGATCTGATTTGACGGTGTACACACACAAAAAATAATAAAATTTTTTAAAAAAAGAATGGTGGGCCCCAGGGCTGAATCCTTTCTCCATACCTGTCCAATCTCTAGCTGAGCAAATAATTCAAGAAAACGAACTTTATGAGGAACATTGTGTAGTGTCTAGGCTAATAAAAAATATTAAATGGGAAATTTGAAAGCTGTTCTATAAATTTTATATAAGAAAACAGTGACAATCAAAGGGAATTTGATAGAGGAGTTATAAAATGACTCTTGAGACTTCTTTTAAGCAACGAAGTTACATAGTTCTGGGATCATGCTCTAGGGAACTCTGATGGTATAGTCTGTAAAGACTGGCTCAAATCCACAGAGGCTCGCTCTGTGGGAGAAAGGTGGGCAATCTCCCTCTGTGATTTACAGCCTTTGAAAACGTGCGGGAGGGTCAACACTGAGCTGACAGCACAGGGTCACGTTAGAAGTACAGAGTACACGGCATTGTCACAGACTGTAAGGGATGATGTACACACTGTTCAAAGATGCAAACAGTGCCATCGTAGTGAGTTAAAATCTCTACCATTCTCTAACTAGATCCGCTGCTGTGAGTTGACGCTGACTCTCAACATCCCTACAGAACAGGGAGCTAGGTTCCCGGAGCGTTAAAGCTTCGTAGAGCAGCCTGCCATGTCCTTCTCCCACCGAGTGGCTAGTGGATTTGAACCACTCATCTTTCAGTTAGCAAACAAGAGCTTTAGCCACTACATCAACAGGGTTCTTTTATCATAAATCCTACCTAACACGCACAGAATAGCACAAACGTCACTGGTAAGGCTTCTTTAGTACCGTTTGCTTGGATGTCTGCAGCTGTGTCCTGAGGTCGTGACATTCTTTCCTCATCTGTTCCAGCTCTTGCTCCAAAGCATGGATCTTCAGGTCACAGCTCAACTTCTCCACCTCCCAGTTTGAGGAAGGTGGATTCAGATTCCGCATCACTACAGAAAGGACGGACAGCAGAAAGGTTACCTCTGTTTTCTGTCCTGTTTACAATCCCAGAATGATTATACCGAGAAAGACAACAGAATTACTCATAATAATAGTTTAATAGGAACTTTCAGAGATTTATGCTAATAGAAATGAATAGTAACTTTCAGAGATTTATGCTAACAGAAATTTAGAAACCCAGTAATCTTGGTTTAGAATGTAGTAGTCACTCCTACTGGCCCACTTCACTTTCTATTTAGGTTGTAAAACTGCCAGTCTGGAGTTTAAAAGAGCCTACACTAATCAAGTCTAGGCTATGACTGCACAGAGATCAGTAATCCCCTAGTTTGTAGAAGTAAATGTTAGAACTGTGATAAAAATAAGAAACACAATCAGCTGTTCATCTCATCCAGTTCCTTTATAGAGTTTGACAAGCTGGTCTGGAAGTCTGACAAGTATCATGTCAAAGCAATTTTATCACAGTACAAAATACAAAACAGCTGGCTATTACTTGACTCTGGACTTCGAACTCAACACTTAGCATCTACACCTATTTAGAAACACTCTTGACCTGCTATCCTGAGGTTTCAATTCCTAGCAAAAGTTCTCTGCAAAGTCCAAGCTTCAATGTTCATGGGTACACGCTAACCGCCACGTCCCTCAGACTTGAGCTGCCACTTCCTCTTGGACTTTTAGTTACCTTTAGAAAGGGAATAAATGAGTAAAATGACAGCTCTAATTATTCCATGGCCGTGCAGACAGGCTGAGCAGGAGGAAATGGCCAGGGCAAATGGTGTTCATGAGGAGAGCATCTAACTCTGCTTCCTCTTTTAATTCAACACAAACGAGCCCTGAATCACTATGTCTTCTCTGAGAAAAGCGCTATTTACACACATGGGGGGAACTTTACGCTGATATTTTATGAAAGGAGAAGAGAGACATAATAAGCCTTAGATACAAGTAAGGAAAACAGCCTTAGGTATAGGTAAAGAAATCGTTTCATGGATACAACACGTAAATGGACAAATGCATGGCTGGATTAGAACATTCAGAACAAGGAAGGGGCATACCCTGCTGAGTCTCCACCTCTGTCCTTAGCTGCAGAAGCTCTACTTCTTTAGACTGTAGCTGTTCATTCAATACTTTCAAAGATTCAGAGTTGTCTTTATTCTAGTTAAGCAGAGAAAATGCCAAATGACATTCAATACAATCAATGCATCTTTGCTTTCAGGTATCAGAAAGCCCCATGGTTCTCCCACAGAGTGGCTGCAGGGTTCAAACCACTGACCTTGTGATTGGCCAGTGAGTACTACCAGCACTCAGTATCACGGAATACAAAGCACTTGTGTTGTATACAAATAAATCACAATTATCAAAAAATCCCATTATTCCCTTAAACATGTTTTAAATGCATTTTACTCAAGAAGTATAAAGTCATTAACTTGTTATGTCTAACCTTAAACTTCTTGAAGGGGAAAAGTCTTTTGTAGTGTGTAGATAATTCTTTTTTGCATTCACTTACCATCTTTTCCAATTGGCTCCTCAGATTATCCCTATCAATGCAGACCTCTCGGTACGCGTGATAGGCCTTATTGACTTGCTCTCGCCCCACAGAGGCTACTTCTTCATCTGGTCGACCTTCTAAAAGCTAGAGGTTATAAAATTAAAGAGAAAGGATATTCTTAAAAACATTTTTTAAAAAAATTATTCTGAATTTTCAAAAAGCCAAGTTTCCTAATGAGATCACATTTTATTTTAATACAAGGTGGCACAACTTGCCAGGGACTGGCTGATGGCCTAAATGCTGGCCACATGAACCCATCCAGTGGTTCCACAGAAGCAGCCTCTGCTTTAAGAGTACAGAAAAGGTGCGCGGTTCGAATCCACCAGATGCTCTGCTGGAGGAGGAGGGACAATCTCCTCCTGTACCAGTCAGATCCAATTTGACAGTCCACACAAAAAAAATAATAAAATTGAAAAAGACGACTAAAAACAGAATTTCCTAGGGAGCTCTAGTGGCCTAGTGGCAAGCACCTACACTGCAATCCCAGCGTACAGACAAGACCCTCCCCCAGCCTTTCTACCTTGTGACACTAACGAGCCAGGGGTCAACTGGACAAGAGCTAACAGCACAATAATTATCCATACTGAAGAAGAACCCAAAACCCAAATCAAATCCAAAACAGCACAATCTTTTTTAAAACCTTTCTATCGCATGTGTTTTCTCGAACGGTGTGACACACTTTAAGATGCTGCTATAGCTGTTGTTAGGTGCCACTGAGGCGACTATGACTCACAGCCATCCTCTCAACAACAAATCCAAATTTTGCCCTGGCCTGCACCATCTATCGATTCTGACATGCCCACTGTTAATAGTCACCGGGCCGATCCAGTACCTCAGAAGTCCACCTCCCTTTCACTAACCCTCGACCTTTCCCATCACATTGTTTTTTTCAAGGACTAGTCCCCCCGACAGCACGCCCCAGTGTCAGAGACAAACTTCCACCGTCCCTGCCTCTAAGGAGTGTCCTGGCTGCATTTCCTCCCACACACACTTGTTTGTCCTTTTGGCCGTCCATTTGGCACTCTTGACCAATGCAATGGAAAGGTCATTCATTCCTCTTCAGTCTTCCTCACTCACTGTTCAACTTTCAGATGCCCAGGAAGTAAGTGAAAATACCATGGCCTGGATCAGGAGCACCTCAGTCTTTAAACGGATATCCTTGCTCTTTAGGACTCTGGAGGGAACCCTGAGAGCAGATTTCTCAATGCAATACGTCTTTAACTTCTTCACTTCTAACACCAAGGGTGCTGATTGTGGATCCCAGTAAAAGGAAATCATTGACAACGTCAATCTTTTCTCCATCTATCATGATGTTGCCTATTGATTGGTCCAGTGATGAGGAGTTTGGCATTTTGGGGTGTTGTGTTTTTTTCTGTGTTGAGATGTAATCCTAATTAAGATTATAGTCTTTGATCTTTGACAGCAAATCTAAGTCCTCTTCACTTTCTGCAACAAGGTTGTGTCATGTGCATATCGCAGGCTGTTACCGAGTCTTCCTCCAATCCTGATGTCACTTTCTTCTTCATATAGTCCACCTTCCCAAATGTGCTCACAGACTGAACAGGTATGGAGAAAGGATACAACCCTGATGAGCGCCTTTCTTGTTTTTAAACCATGCAATGTTACCAGGTTCTGTTCAGACAACGGCTTCTTAGTCTATGTATGACACAATTAAGTGTTCTGGGATATTAATTCATAATGCATCACAGAAGCTCATTCTTCTAAAAGTTCTTACACATCTTCTAAGCCATTAATATGAAATCTCCATCATCAGAGAGCTACCAGGGGAAGGCACTTGACATGTGAGGAATAAATGTGCTAGTTCATGAAAGCCTGTATTATTTCAGAATAAGATGGGACAGGATGCTTGGTCACAGAGAACAGAGATATTTCTCATATTAACTACATGCCAAACCACGATTTTTCTGAATTTCAAATAAAGAGCTACACGCTTCAAAATTGGAATTCTCTCACTCTATCCCAGCATATAAAAAGTACATTTAATCCCCATTACGGCAAACGATAAATTCACATGAATGCATAGAAATTAATGTTATAATTGATTTCCCCTTCACTAATAACAAACCTTATTGCCAAGTTTCTCGAAGGATTTTCATTTTCTTAGCTGCTAAGAAATCCATTCCCTTCACCCTGTGTGGAAGGTGCTGCTTGGAAAACACAAGTGACACTGACTTTTAACTAACAAAATAGAAACTACACTAAGATAGAACCTTAAAACTCAAATAGAAGCGGCCAGTGGGGAAGTGTTCAACAGACAAAGCCAAGCAGACGTGAGAATTTATTCTGAATTAGCTACAGGGTTTATAAAGGAGTCCTGGTGGCACAACAGATGACCACTTGGTTGTGACCCCGAAGGCTGGCAGTTCAAATTCACCTGGGGTTCTATGCGAGAAGACCTGACAATCTGCTCCTATAAAGACTGTTGTTAAGTGCCGTCAAGTCGGAGGTGACTCACAGTGACCCTATGAATGAAAGACCTGGAGACCTGTATAACTTTCGTCCTTTCTCCAGATTCATAGGGTTTCCAGGGGCAAGCCATTACGGAAGTGAATGTCACTCCTGCTTCCAAGCGTGTTTTGATCGAGGACCTCTACCAAACACTGTCCACCATGGGTGACCATTCTCACATCTGACACATTAGTGTCACAGTGTTCAGCTTCACAGTATCCACAAGTTACCTCTGTACAGCAAGTGGACATACCAGGGTCATGCAACCTAGAAGAATGTTTCACCAGAAACAAGTAGGGCCCTAAAGGATTTTAAGCTACTGCCTGGAGCAGGCTCCACCCTTATTTACCCTTACTCTAAGGCCCTTGGTCTAAGGCCCAGGGCCACCCACCCACTTTAGAAGGGTTATAACAACAGTAACACACAAGGAAAAGGACCCCAGAAACTTCCCTTGCCTGACTGCCACCAAGAGGAGCCACCATCAAGACGCCAGCCATCCTGCCAGTCAGCCTGCCAGACTTCCAGAGTGTCAATAAAGATGAGAGCCCAGAAAAACCCCTGGGCGGCTCGACTTTGTCACAAGGTGTCACTCTGAAGCAATCACACACAACTAGATCACTTTGCTGATAAATTCTAAACAACTCAAGAGACCCAGTTTCTGTATAGAAAAGTAAACAGCAGTTATTTATTTATCCTTTAAAAGCAGTACTCATGGGAGCTCAGCTGGCCTAGTGATAAGAAACTGCAGAGTGATCCCAAAGGCATGCGGTTCAAGTTCACCAGCTGCTCCCGGGAAAAAGATGGGCAATCTCTTCCCACGCGATTAACTGCCTCTGAAAACCCGCTAGAGGGTCAGCTATGGGTCAGTTTTGACTCGATGGTACTCAACAACAAAACTCAAAATGTGTCAATATCAATGTATATACGTAAATGAATAGATCTACATACATAAATCATACTTGAAAAAAACGGAACTTAAAAAAAAAGCAGGTATTCCTATGTGCATGCAAGAACGAAAAAAAAAATTGAAGATGATAAAAGTTATGGTGAATTCTCAGTTGTGGTGAAGAAATCTGACTCTCTGATTTCCCTCACTGGTGTGTCATTTACTTTTGCACCAATCTTTAAGCTATAATATAATGAGAATACAATGAGATCTGGATAAAGAAGGAAAATATTTCAAAACTTTCCCTTCTAAGTTATTATTAAGCCCTAGGCGACAGATACCAGTGACATCAAACAGGGAACACAATGCCAGAGGGTTAGAGATTAGTGGTCAACGGCTGGAAATTTAGTATTAAAATGGACGTGAAGAAGGAAAAATATTTAAAGTTTCAAATCTTTTTCAAACTGTTCCTTAACTGATAAAACACACTGCTGATAAAATTACCTTTTCTTCCAAAACTCGTATTCTTTTCTTTAACAAAGAGTTCTCTTTCTCTGAGTCCTTCAGTCGTTTTTTGATGTCTTCGTACGCCGTGACCAGGGCAAAATGCGAAGCAACAGACTCATCTCCCGAGTATATGGAGACGGGAATCACTCTGTCTCTCCCGTGAGCTTTCTCGTGGTTCAGAATGCAGATGTCGTCTTCCATCAGCGTGTCCATGACAGCTAGGTCAAAGAAAAACAGGGACACTCAGGTCTTACCGAATGAACCAGCAGGGGTGGGGGATACGTGTGTTCAGAGACCTGGGAAGACCAGGCAATGTTTAAAAACGCCCATCTTTTTGAAACAGTATGAAGAGCGGCCTCTGGAAGCAGCCTGCCCTGTTTTCCTAATCCAAACTCTACTGCTCGGTATCTGAGTGGCTCTGGGTCAATTACCCGACAGTATTTCGCTGCTGTTTCTGCTGTTACTAACTCCACCATCAGAGGCGCAAGGAGAACGAATCCTATCTTTATTACTAACTGCATGGCAAGAATCAGCATGAATTTAGTTACAATTTAGACACAGACTCACCCTCCCCTCCCACATCGCTGCGACCCTTGTCACCACTCTGTACAGCACTTTCTCTTTCACTCTAACTACCCAGTCAGGTCAAAGCATTGCCGGCCACCTGGAGCAAAGCCGACAGGCTTCAGGGTCATAGGCACACAACTGCACAAGTCCCCGGACTCAAGCCCCCAACCTAGCCAGCCCTCCCAGGGCCGGGTCACAGCCTAGCACTCTGTCCACATTCACTGCCATCCCGGGCAGCCTTTCCGTGTTACCAGTTAGCTGTATCCTCAGGAGTTAGGCCTCTGTCCTTACGACTGGCTGTGCGACCCTCCCCTGAGTTAAGTCTTCCTAGCTGAGTCAGTCTTATGGCCTCCCGGGATTTGTTCTCTGTAACGACTCACAAAAGTCACAGGCTCTGCCTAGACTTGTAAAGAGGCCTGGGGACACAGTGGCTATTTGGCTGCTAAGTCAGAGATCAGTAGTTTGAACTCACTGGCCTCTCCCCAGGAGAAAGCTGTGGCAATCTGCTTCTGTATAAAATGTACCGCTGCTTTCATTTAAGCGCCATGGAGTTGAATCCCACTCCCATGAACAGCATGTTGAAACCTTGGCTGTTCTGCAACAGCCCCATCCTCTCCCCCTTGCTGTTGTTCCATCTCACGGAGGGGCTCCCTCACTGGTACAGTGACAGTGTGAATCCAAGTCACTGAGGAGCTTCTGCTCTCTGGGTGACTCTCCACTTTCCCAAGCACGGCCGTTTCGAGGAGTCTCGTCGACAAGCCCACAGCACGAGACATGAGGTTTCACCATCCCTGCCTCTAAGAGGCACCCTGGCTGTCCTTCTGGGACAAACTGTGCGCTCTTCGGGCAGTCAACAGAACATTCAGCACTCTTCACCAGCACCACTTTGTAAAGGCATCAGTTCTGCCATCTTTTTTACTGGCTGTCCAACTTTCGCATGCATGGAAAGCAAGAGGAAATCGTAAGCACGGGCTCTAATTCAGGACGCTTCCTAGAGATCCCCACTAAACATCCGAATTTAAAAGGACTCTGTCTACTTGCGGGTGGAGCCTTTACCACCCAAGCCCTCTGCAGTAAGCCTAGAATTCCGGCACCTGTTGCCCAGGTTCCAAAGACTGAGAAACTCGCAAATTAAAAAAGGAAGACTTCAACAAGCAAAAAGGCAACAGAAAACATTTACTCAATGCTATTTTCAAAAGGAGAAGTGCCCTTTTTAGTGTAGAAAGACAAATGTAAGATAATTTATTTTTTTTTTATCAGGCTGAAGTCATTTATCTGCTTAGAGGGTCAATTAGGAGGAAGTCTTTCTTATCAAGTTGAAATCTGTTACTCACAGTTCTGGGTGCCTGCCTACCCTGCAATCCACAGGTGAGAGGGACTCCCTTACTGTTCACATACCCCCCTCGGACCCTCCACTGGGATTCCAGAGCGGCGGACAGCACAGGGCGGCCACCTTTCTCCTATGGAGCTGCTGCTAGGTTCAAACCACCAGAGACGTACCACCTTTGGGTCCGCAGCACTGCTACAGAGAATGCCCCCAGAGCACACCCTTCCTTAAAGTGTGGAATACACATGCGCTCTACCCCAGATCCTTAACCTCGCCCACCAATATTCCCGCAGAACTGTTCTTGCTGAAATCTGAGAACCTTTCTCTTAACATACTTTAATAAGTATAAATAAAATTATAAACGGCTTTTTCTATTAAAAAAGGAGAAAAAAAATACTACAGCTTGGGTCAAATTCACCTTGGTCTTTAAACTGACATCCTTGCTCTTTACCACTTTAAAGAGGTCCTTGACAGCAGAACTGCCCAGCACCAGCACGCTTTTTGTTTTCCTGACTACAGCTTCCGTGGATGTTAAATGCAAATCCAAATAAAGTTAAATCCTTGACAATCCTTGCCAATTTCTACTCCATCTATTATGATGTCACACACTGGTCCAGCTGTATTTTGTTTTCTTGATGTTGAAGTGTAATGTACACTGAAGGCTTCAGTCTTTAGTCTTCTTCACTAAGTACTTCAAGTTTTCCTCACCTTCTGCAAACAAGGTGTGTCATCAGCTGCAAAATAGATTACTGATCAATCTTCCTCTAATCCAGACGCTATATTCTTCTCTATCATAGAGTCCAGCTTCTCAAATTACTTGCTCAGGAGCAGAAAAGATACAACCCTGACACACAGCCTTCCTTTATTTAAACTATGCAGCATTCCTCCTTCTGTTCAAACAACTACTTTACAAAGGCATTAGACTGACTACATCTGCGCAACAAGTTAACAGGGAAACTCAGTAAGTAGGAGCAGTTAAAATCAGGCCAATGGCTGAAACAGGACCAAAATTAAAGATAATTAAACAAGTCCAGGAGAGCCAAAACACGGGCTTGAGTCTACCACACTTGGAATTTAAAAACCACTTCAAGAACTTATTTGATTCACTTAACACTAATGACTGAATACCAGCTGAGTTGTGGGATGGTATCAAGGACATCATTAAAGAAAAAAAAATCAAAAGGTTGTTAGAAAGAAAGCAATGCTCAAATTAGATGTCAGGGTAAACTCTAAAAACATGCTCAACATGGGGAAGTTGAAATGAAGGGAATAAATGAAGTAATAAAGTTGAATAGATTATTAAAATGAGCAATTTGAGAAGACAAAACAAAGAATTATTATAAAATGTGCAATGCCCTGAAGTTAAAAAACCAAGGTGGGAGGGGACCCAAGCGTGGTATTTCTCAAGCTGAAAGAACTGAACAACAAATTCAAGTCCCACATTACAATATCGTAAGATTCTATAGACACAGTACGAAATGATGCCGGAAACATCAAAGAAGCCAGAAGAGATCCAGAGTCACAGAACCAATAAGAACTGGTCAGCACTGGACCACCCAGGAAGCAGCACTGCTCAAAAGCCAGGGCTAAGAAGTCCCAGCTGCACTGAAGGCACTGGCAAAAAAGAAGGTCCCCAGAATCAATGGATTACCCATTGAGGTGTTTCAGCAAACAGATGCAGCCCTGGACATGCTCACTAGTCTGTGCCAAGAAACGGAGACATTCATACTTGTGCCTATTACCAAAAAAAAAGGGGGGGGGGTGATTCATTATAGTATGGACATTATCAAGCACCATCATTAACAACCTGCGTTATGCAGATGACACAACCCCGCTTGATGAAACTGAGGGGGACCTGAAGCACCTGCTGCAGAGGGTCAAGGACTGCAGCCTTCAATATGGATTGAGGCTCAATGTCAAGAAGACAAAGATTCTCACCACTGGACCAATTGGCAGCATCATTATGGATGGTGAAGAGATTGAAATTGTTAATAGTTTTAGTTTACTTGGTTCCACAATCAACACTCTTGGTATTAGCAGCCAGAAAATCAATAGACGAATTGCACTGGGAAAGTCAGCTGTCAGGGATCTCTCCAAAGTACTGAAGAGCAGTGATGTCAGGCTGGAGACTAAGGTGCCACCTGATCCAGGCCATAGTCTTCGCAATTGCATGCTATGTGTCAGAGAGCTGGACAATGACTAGGGATGATAGAAAGAGAATTAATGCCTTTGAGCTGTGGTTCTGGAAAAGAGTGTTGAATATACCATGAACTGCTAGGAGAACAAACAGGTTCATCCTGGAGAGCGTGAAACTGGGCTGCTCCTTGGAGGCAAGGATTCGGACGCTTCATCTGACATACTATGAACATGTTACAAGGAGGGACTAGACAGTCCTTGGGAGGGACGTCATGCTTGGGAGGGTGGAGGGACAGTATTAAGAGAGGAAGATCCTCAATGAAACGGATTGAGTCAGTGGCTGGGGAAATGGGGGAGGGTGTGTCAGAGACAATGAGGTTTCCACAGGATAGTGGAGGGTTTACAGCTGTTGCACACAGGATCTATGGGTCACAAGCAACTCAACGGCACATAACAACAATCATTAACATCAAGTGCAAATTCAATCTTGCTGAAAATGATCAGAAAATGGCTGAAGTCATACACTGTCAGACATTCAAGCTGGATTCAGAAGAGACTGGAGCAGACAGTATGGCTGATGTCAGATGAAGCTTGGTTCAAAGTAGAGAAGAAAGAGGAAGCCCCTCAACCAGCTGGACTGACACAGGGCCCACAGCAATGGACTTGAGCACGGTGGACATACTGAGGTCACCAATCATTTCTCCATGAGGATCAGTACAAGAGTACTTCCTGTAAGATGCATAGTAGGATCAAATGTCTGGCTTCACCAAACTGCCACGCCACAACTTCTGACATCAATTACTCCTCCACCCCTTGGCCCTCTTACTCCCATCTGCTTTGCTTTTGGGTTCTGGAACTCACTGGAAGGTCCTCTGACACACAAAACCCATCAGGGAAATGGCTCATGCAGCTGTAGATGGCCTGGGCTGATGCATGTGGTGGCAGACGCCGGTGAAGGACAAGCCCGGAAGCTGCAGACTGAAGCTGGACAGATGCAGTGTCCCACGTGAGCAAAACTGAGCTGCCCAGGACCTAGAAGGAAGCACGAGGTAGTGCCTGGCTTGTAGTTAACGGTGTGTAGTCTCCAGGAACTGCTTTCTAGCTGAACCTCCTGCAGATTTTCAGAGGACACGGTCTCAGGGCTGTAAATCACATCCCCCCGGAGAACTAAGGGTGGTGACCT